GAGTGTCGAGATGACCCTGAGAGCTATTCCAGCGAGAGTTTCATCTCCTGATATGACCACCCAAGTGTGACCATCCAAGCTTTCCAAACCCCTTATGAGTGAAATGTTATAAACAATAATTTACCAGATAACGGCGTGAATGGGAATGGAACCATGGTGAAGCTGCCTCGCCAGACAGGTGTCCCACTGTCCTGAAGGGGCGTAGGAACCGGGGGGAGGGGGGCCAGGCCCCCCAAGGTTTGCCAAGTGCCCTTTTGAACTACGGGAAAGACGGGACGGATATTTGTAGAGCGGAAGTCATACCATCGGTAATTGGCTGTTTAAGGAGAGGAATGAAAAGATCGAAAGATGATATAAGAAAACTGTTTAACAGCGAGAACGATTTACATCTGACAAGAAAGTAAGGAAAAGACAGTATTGTGGGAAAAATCGTTTAAACAATTAAACCATGACCTTCAAACCGAACTTATACAAAACCTTTGGCCTCGTTATAGAAATCTTGAGTTATAGAAACCTTGGTTTCTGGCTAACTTTCTGCCAATATAGCTATAATTAAACCTCTAGACAACGGGCACTTCAGGCTTCCAAACAACGGGCAGCAAGCATTTGTCCCATGCTGGGGGGTCAAATTCCAATGTTGTTAGTCTGTATAGTAGACGTAACACTCGTATTGGGCATGTTAATTTATACATATCGTTGCCTGGGTTTTGTACATTTATGTTCTGTACATTAATTTGCGTATAGCCTATATGAATGTTTTATCCCCAAATTCAAAATGTACTGATTGAAATATTCTCTTAATCCTTTGTGGTGTTGCAGTGAATTCCTCATGCTGATAAAAACGTTTGCCATTGTTTTATTATGTAAACAATCACGACACATATTTAATGTTTATGTTATATGTGGAAAACCCCCTTAAAAATTTAAAATTAAACTTCCATGAAAATGTTGATAATTTGAATAAGCTACACGTGAGAAATTGCACAATTTGTAGAAGGTGCAATTTTTTAGATTGCAGATTCTATGTCAGGTAAATTTTACATAGATGTGGACCATCATGTGGTTTTCAGTACCGTAACAGTGTCACATATGTTTATTCGATTAAATCCTAAATGAGGTCAAAATATCTTGTGAAGGAATGTCAAAAATCTCATCATGTATCCAGACATTCCTCAAATCAAACATTTAAAGCAATATTGGTAGTGCCTGGTGTACATCTGTCGACATTAAAATAAAGAGTAGTGTTCATTGCTGCGTGTGCAAACTGACAACAAGACAAATCATTGAGAATTAACTGTATGATGTATGAATTGGAGTTAATTCCTCATTTTGGATTATGCCAACTGGCGGTACGTTGTTGTTAAGTGTTCCTAACACGGCAAAATCCTGCAATAAGTTAACTCCAATACGACATCTTAGAAACAGCAGACAAAGGTGCCATCATGGTTTTTCGGGATTTCAGGTATAAATGTTCTGTCATTTCTGATATGAAAGATCTTACCGGCATGATAATTCTGACATAAGTCACATTAATACAACCAGCGACTGACATGCAACTGAGGTTAATCATCCGGATATTTTCATACTAAAATGAATAACATGCGCAGGACGTTTTTAATGCTAGAAATTTAATACACCAAAATACGAGCGTGCGCCGTTTATATTGTCCACATACTGCAAGTATTGAATATTGATGGTATAAGGAAAGAAGATTTCATTTCAAAATATATCGTTGAATTCTACTGAATGAGTCGAAAACGTTTTCCATTGTAGCTTTGTACATGATACCGTAATGCTTTGCATTAATGCAACCTATAATATTTGAAACCAAAACTGTGTTGAACTATTAAAATTAATTAATGCCTGATTGCCATAGTGCATGTGCCTTTCTTTCTGCGTTGCCGTTGGGTAACTGGTTTGGGAGGTTGTCTGATAAAATTTCACCTCAGTCTCGTATGAATCAGAGAAGAGTGCTTGATGCCTTGATTATACATGAAACACCGCGGATGTTCTTCGGGAACTGGAATTTCCTCCTATAATGCTTGAACAATAACAGATGACCCTAAATTAAATACAAAATCTTTCTTTAACTTTATAGCTTTATAATTTAGTTTGAAGTGTAATAAATGTTAACATCCAAACGCTAGCACTGATCGTCAAGTAGGGATAGAATGTGGATAGAATCTCGCGCTTGCCATTTCACAGTTACAATTTTGAAAAGTTGCTTTTCACATCGTTCAGACTGTCTAGATTATTTGACGTGAAGCAGTACCTCCAAAATGGCGGACATTGGCCGCTGTGAGAAAGGCTAATTGGTACGGCTGGTTGAGATGAATGTGAACAGTCATGTGACGACTGGGTACGAGTCAGCCTCCGTTACCCGTCTAACTCGTTCCTTCCAAACCATTTGAAGGGTTCCCTAATTCCACCTGGGGGGATTGGGGCGACATCACTCAATCCCATACCACGCATAGCAAAAGAGAATTCAAGTTATTCAAGGAATCATGAAAAGTGTCGTAGACGAGGCGAGCACATGACAATGGGAAAACAGCGAAATGCCAGCACATGACAATGGGAAAACATTAATAACATATTCATGAACCATGGAATTAACTTCAGGTTAATACACTGGCCGACAAAGTTATCAAAGTTATTAGCATGGATTATTATTTAAATTACTAATTAAATTAATTATTATTACCAAAACAAGAGCAGTGCAATTAAGAGAAATTCAGTGGAAAAAATAAAAGTTTCGGACCCCTGACAGTTGAAAACCTGCATAAAACGTGTCATTCAAATGGTGAGTAAATCACTTATTTCGCAGGTGTGTTTTGCAGGGCTCGCCTCGGGGACATGCTTCGCCAGAAAAGTTTCTAATTTCTATAGGGTCTTTAGAACAGTGTTTCTCGCATTATGAAACTGTTCTGAAGAAAAATCACTGAACCACGAAAGATGCCATTTTATCGTTATTTTCAAACAGAGCCCCCTTCCTTCACTCGCCCCCATCCCCCCCTTTGCTTTTTAAGGATTAATGATTTTTAAGGATTTGCGAAGCAAAATCCTTTATGTTATCGGGTGTGTAAGATAGATAGGTAGATATATAGTAACACATTAGTGACGTTGAGTTCCGAGTCGAGTATTCGTGAACCGCCGGAAGCTATTATCCGCCATTTGTGTTTGTCGATATTCGCAATCTTTCGGGCAAAAACCCCACTCATTTTCGTAGAATACACCAACGACTAAACATTGTACCACTTACTTTCAGCCAAACGAATGAATATATGACTGTTTTGTGCTAGAAATACAAATGGAAAAGGGAAAGGAAAACTCAGGAGCGGCCGTATAAAATAAAATCAAAAGCGGTGTTTCCATTATAAAAACTGTATTGTCCATTTTTCATTCGTTTTCATTGGAAATGAATTAGAAATGTATTGCCTGTTGCGGAATGCGAAAACATCGAAATAATTTTGTTGTTTTTTATCCAAACGTTAAATTATAGAATATCTTAAACATTTCTACAAATTCAGTTATTCTTTTATCTTTGAGGCAGTGATAAAGTCATTTAAAAGTTGTAGTAGATTAACTTTGAATATAACAGTAATTAAACAAAAGTTGACATTCGAAGAAAAGATTTGTCGTGCATGATGTTGTGTTTTGTTATACTACATTTTGGGCGATATTTTTCCATCGTTCTCGCATTATGAACTGATATTTTTCAATATTTCTTGCATTATAAAATTGACAACAAAATGGCAAATCCTTACGCACTCTTTGAGTGCCTATTTTTTCATGTATATTATTGATAAGTAATACCATGGCTATGGTTTCTCGTACAATTTGAATTCGAAGAAACATGCACTCGTGAGTTTGTTGTCTTTTTTCCTGCTTTCCCATTCGGTTTTCCCTAAATCATTGAAGTTGAGTAATATGAAACTGCCTTTAATTACTGACTTGCGTGATAGAAATTTGATCTGAGTGAAAATGTCGAGTGCGTTCTTTGAAAATGAACAGATTGTTTATATAAGTTCAAAATACTATTAATATTACAATATGGATGTACCATCACGACCATTACTCTCTCACGGAATATTGGGTAGAACATCTGGTTTATCACCAGAGAAAATTACTGTAGATGTTCAAAGGCAACAGTCGTTTACACTTGGTATGAACAAGAACCAACGTATTCCGTCTAGAGATAATACACAAGTCTCACAATTTGCCAAGTTATGGCATGACAGATTGCTGAGCAGAAAAACAATGATCCATAAGGAATTTCAGGTTGAATGAACGTATTATCACATCTATATACCAAGCTGAGAGCAGCTCTACTATTCATTTCTATAGTTGCTATGCGCCTATGCTACTATTCATGATTTTATTGATTTGTTTACTGTACAAATTTCATCGTTAATATTGTTGTGCGGATACATATATTATAGACACTATAGGTTTAATATATAGTCACGTCAAAATCATTACTACAATAAAATCATTAAATCCATTGATTTACGATCCATTTAGCTATTATTGATAATGACTGCTCATTAACTAATGTACTGTTTTCTTATTCATTTCATGCCTGTGTTTGTTTGTTTAGGCCAAAGCAACTTTTAAGAAAGCCATTAAGAAGATTGTATCAGCTTTAAAAGTGATAAATGCCTTCTTAAGGTACAGATGCTCATTATTTCAAAATTTGCACCAATGAATCAATGATTGAAACAAATAAGCGGATACATGGTTTACTTTTATATAGTATACCTGAAAAATGACTCGATTCTGGTTGTCTAAGAGTAGTGCAATTTTATTGAAATACAGTGCCAAGAAAATAAATTCTTTGTAAACAAGTTATTGTGTCATTCAAGTTGAGTATGAGTGAGTGGGTGAGTGAGTGAGTGAGTGAGTGAGTGAGTGAGTGAGTGAGTGAGTGAGTGAGTGAGTGAGTAAAATATTTATTTCGAATTTGTACCAATCGAGTCGTTGAATTTGCGAGTCGTTGAATTTGCTTCTGCATATACATTTTCATGTATATTATTATACCTACACCAATACAATAATGTTTCCTTATTTTCCTAAACAATACTCAGTAGAAAGACTGAGCGGATCCTAACCGTCCTAAAATAGTTTGGTATCACTATCCGAATATAATATTGAATATTGATGTATTTATAGCTTAATAAGTGAAAGGTCTGTGATTTTAGATGGATGCAGGTCGTTGTATTAGTCAAATCTGAGGTAAAACGTAAATACATGATTCTTTTACAGTTGTTCATCAAACAGCAGCTCGCATAACCAACACGATGCATTTCGATATTTCATGGACATATTGGACATCAGTGGAAATCATGTGTCAGACGAAACAGTCTCTCGAAATGATGCAAATTCTCCTACACCACTATTTGATCCGGCTTGGTTTAAAGCAAATCGCGAGGTACTTGCATGGCCACAATGTCCAAATCCACAGTGTAAATTTTCTTTTTCCTAAGATCGATGCTTCATTGTCGCCTTTCTTTCTTCTTTTACTTCTTTGATGTCCCCGCCTTCTATTGCGATTTATTTCCAGCTCCATATAATAAATCTTCTTCATTCTTTTTTCGTCTTAGCCTTGCTTCCCTCTCCTTCACTTCAATGTCTCACACATTCCGATCTCTTCATTCCATGCCTCTAACTAGCTTTCCTTCATCTCGTCCTATTACATATCCATGCCATCTCATCTTGGCTTTCCTCTCCTTCGCTAAGTGTGGCATCTTACATATTCTTTAATTCTGATCTCGGTGCTCTTTCAAACTCTCTGTCCTCATTTCCTTCAGCGATCCTACATGCATGTTTCTGGGCTTTTCGGGATTTTACTGAAGAACAGCGATGATTCATCGATGTTATCTGCAATTTTTACAGATCCGCCTCAGCAGCGAAACCAAAGCAATTTTAAGTCAATATCCAAATACAAGGACACCAGAACAAGTTCAAACGGTGAGAATCATTTTATCTTAAGAATTGATTGTGAAAATATAACAATATTTTCTCACGTTCCGCAGTATCTTGTTCTGTAATAAAATAGGGGACGACTGACCACAACTGGCACGCGCGTGCATGATTTCGACATCTTGCTAATGAAGGATGGAATTTTTTTACTAATATCAGTTATAAGCCTATTATACAATATATATAGGTATAGGTACGGCGTACATGCATGTATAGCCAAAATTGACCAGAAGTGTTGCCTCGTAAACTTTGTCACACAAAATAAAATCTACAAAATTGTTTCACGAACAACAAGGCTAAGCAAAGACGTAAAATGTTATCTTTTCTTTTAATTTATCAGAACACATGTTGACTGCAATAGTCCAGCAATTGATATTATTAGGGCTGCCACTCACGGTGACTTGTGTCAACATAATTAAATTATGATATTTGCTGTGTTGGTGTAATGTACTCAGGTGAATAAGATGCTTGTGATGTTACTCTGAGTGTATATCCACACCGGGCATGCTTGAAAAATGTGCCTGGCCACGGTGGGAATCGAACCTACTCGAACCGACCTGACCGCGTAGCTCAGTTGGCAGAGCATTGGGCTAGTATTCCAAACGTCCTAGGTTCGATTCCCACCAGGCATATTTTTCAAGCCTGCCAGGTGTGGATATACACCAGATCATCAAGTTCCTGAATTTTACTGTATAATATAGTAACGGTTTCCTCTTTACTATTACAAATGAACGCGTTACAAAATGTTTTCTCGCACAATCAAATCACGAGCATTAATATACTGGCTGTATACAGTAAACCATGCTCAATCTTGTAATTGGCAATTCCAGCTTTTAGTTTATGCGTGCAGGGGACGATGGGAAGTAAGGTATCACATTGCTGATTATGCTGAAAAATAAAAACGATGGCCGTGTAAACACGGAATGATAGCTTATACTTGTAAATATTGAAATATTTCGGTTGTTTCGGTAGTTTTTGTTGAAATTTTTCACCATAATCAGCAATATGATACCTTACTTCCCATCATCCCCTGCAGGCGTAAACTAAAAGCTGGAATTGCCTATTGTTTTGTATCAATATACCTGCGCTATAACTGGCTATACAGTATACATGCTGGTTGTGTTTCTGGTAATCATTATTTTCTTTATGTGATTAGGTTTTTCGAAGTCTGCACACGCTTCCCTCATTTGCAGAATATCCTTTATATCATCAGAAAGCTATTTGTCAAGATGCTTCATATCAAAGGTACACACGTAAAAACGAACAAGTTGTTGCAGGTTTGCAAACAAGTTGTCACAGATCTGTTCACAAGCTGTCAACAAGTTGTGTTCGCACTACTTGTTTCTAGTTATTGTAACAAGTTTAGAACAAGCTGTTAACAACATGTAACAAGCTTGCATGATGGTATTATCATGCAGACTTGTAGAAACGTTGTTCTAACAAGTCTGATACAGTCATGTTACAAGGTTGATGACACAAGGTTGTAACAGTATTGTTATATCATGACTGTATTGGACTTGTTGGAACAACCTTGCAACCAGTATGATAATATCAACAAGGCTATTACAAGTTGTTAGCAACTTGTTCCAAACTTGTTGACAAGTTGGGACAAGAATTGCAAACACAACTTGTTGACGGCTTGTTGGCAGACTTGTTACAAGATGTGAGATTTTTACGCGTATAATTTAATCTCTAATTGTCACGTGAGTCATCTTTGTTTTGTTCATGCATGCTCGTTATTTATTTTCTTTATATTTAACAAACCTACAATTTACAACTTTTCTAACATGGTAGGAAAACTATCATGCACCCATACATAAAATTCAATAATACTCTAATACAAGTCCGTTTTGGTATTCATTTGAAAAGCAACTACACTTTTTAATTCTATAATTCTTTTTTAGTTTTCCTCCTAATGTAACTATTCTTCAGCAAGGCCACAGGGCAGATAATTTTTATTTTGTACTTTCTGGATCAGGTAAAATATATGTGACTGCATGCATGCTTATTGCAATTTTCTGCCAAGTGTTAAAAGCAACTGAAAATGGTTGTTCGATGAATATTTGATCGAAAACATGCGTCATGTGTTTTTCTTACTGTTATATATATTTGTCAATGGGTGCATGTAATTGTAATCGTCATTTTATTCTAGCAACTGTCATCTCAAAGTTAGATGGTGAAAGTGATGCCGAGAACGGGACCGAATCTGTTTCTGTAGTCAAGAGAGGAATGGCATTTGGTGTAAGATTTAAATTTTAGGGCCTTAATTGTGTTTTATTCCCTGCTGTGGTGATGAGCATAGGGACTTTATTTTAAATGCCTTAAATAATTGAAAGAAAACGCAACAAAAACAATGCCAGTGAACAATTTAGTACTAAAATTAACATTAATTCTTTATCGAATTGCTTTCGCCAAGGCTTCGTTTTTACTAATAATATATATTTTCTGTATTGAATTAAATGTTTGGGTTTTGTGATTGTTATTTGGATATTGCTATTGTCGCATTGATTAGTTGAACTTTGCATTTAGCATACAAAATTTAGGGGCCGCCATTACATGGCTGGGCCAATTATTTTCCTATTGTGAAATATTTCGGGCTGATGTTGAATTTTGATTTATAGGAATCTGCAATCATGAATAATTCTCTAAGGAATGTTACTGTTATTTCCAAGACTCACATTGAACTTCTGGTCGTCAGTAAAGAGGTAGCTATGCCCTTTTTCACAAGACTTTGCTACGTTTTTAACTTGCAATTGTTCCCTTTTATTGCTTCCTCAGCTTCTTAATTATGCATGGAATTTACATGGAATATATTTTATCATATTTATATCACATATCCAAATACATGTAAATATCACCATGCTACAGGGTTTTTCAGGATGTTTTTGTATCAATCTTGAATTGAGTTTTAAAATTCAATCATATAATCAAAAGTTTTATAAGTGCAGTAAAATTGAATAGGATAAATACAAAGTAAGAAAGACTTACAATAATATAGAAATACGACTTGAAACTAGCGTATATTTAACAACAAACAATGTCTGATGAACTCATAAAGACTTCAAATATAAAACCAATGTCAACAAGAGAGCGAGTCAGCGGTTACACTAAATAATCCTACATAAGTACTTCATGTAAACTCTTCAATAGGTAATTTGCATACGAAGGTAATGATGAATTCTATTGAATGCATCATTCCAGACACATTTTTGATGCTGGCTATTTTTTAAACAGGATTATGCGAAAATATTTTTTGGAGCAGATTCTGAGAGCGGAAAAAAGGAATATATATCTTTTCTAAGGTATGTACATATCGAAGGGCTCAATAGAACTGAAATATTGTTTATATATGGTATATATAAAATGACGTCTTAGATTTACCCACAACTCACAAGGAACTCAACTATATTAATTGCAAACAATTGGTTTGGTAATCATTATGTTTACGAACTGTGTGATCTGAAGAGCACATCAATTATAATTTCAATTGGTAATTCAGCTGTAAATATGCACTTTTCATTGATTATTCTTCAGGACTGTTGACTTTATTCAGGACTGGCCGGTTGATATTTTGGAATCGTATCCAGATCAATCTCAACACTGTTATTTTAGGTAAAATATAATCATGCATATTGGTAATATCAATTCCCAGAGACTGGTATATATGGTAGAATGGTAATATCAATCCCCAAATAATACCTCCAGAGACACCGCTCCCCTACGTCAGATGTTAGGATACAAGGTGTGGCTAAAGCCTAGTCCTCACTAGCGGCATGCACAAGCATATGAGCAAGAGATCCTCTGAGCCTGCGTTGCCTTATGCTTACACTCTTGTGCTTAATTTAAGCATGCTTGTGTTTATGTCGATGCTTGTATCGCACACTTCATTGAATTTCTTTGTTTCGCCTTTTGTCTTTCATTATGTTTATGCTCGTTTCTTAAGAGGCTGTTCATGTGAACCGGGCTGTCCCCGTTAACCGTGATGAATCGTCCAAAATAATCATTTCAAATTTGAATTAGCTTAGTTTGATTGCAATAACAGTATAAAGTTCATTCAAACTATCTTTTGTGGTCAGGAGAAATTTTTGTGATACGATTCATCCCCGCCAGCTGGGATGGCCGGGTTGGCCCTTGATCATGAACAAACCCTGAGTGAGAGCTAGTCTTGTCTACCTGGTAAGTGACATGCATGAGCTAACTACAAAAATCTTGTGTTGGTTGCTAGTTTGGTCAATATGAAAGACGACAGCCTTAACAGTTAAATAGTTATCGTTTGCACGTATAGTGTGATTAGAAATATTTCTATTATTCCACGATAGAAAAAAATATATCTATGTTTTAATTGGTTACATCCTTGTAAATCAGTCCATTAAATAATTATTTCTTGTTTTATAGACGAGGAGCGGTCATTGTTCGAAATAGCAATAGCTCTCCATGGCTTTACGTTGTAAAATCAGTATGTATATACGTTTTCTATTATAAACTTTCATTTTCATATTTTGTGGGAGAGTTTCCATATCCCGAAATGTCCACACCAAACAATTACAATCACCGTAGTGGTGTTAGGATTATAATTCGTTCAAATGGAGGTTGTTAATTAAGATAGGAATTGACGCTGTTTTGTTTTGTTTCAATGATCCAATGTATATAATATATCTCCTATTTCTTTTAGGGTGTGTGTGAAGTTCTCACTAGGCTGAATGCTGTAAAACCAAGAAAGGCAATTGGAAGAAATGTGCGAGAATTATCAAGTTTAGAAGCACTAACAAAGATCACATTGGAGCGACGGCAAGAGATCCGAAATAGAAAAAATAAAAAGGACAAAATGCATTTACCAAACGTTGGCGAAAAAGAAGGAAGTGCTATAACTTTACCCATTCCAAGATATAGAAGAAAAACGTTTTGTTATGGTATGTTTTACAACAGAACAGCCAGCATTCAGTTACAGTACTATATCTCTATAGCTATACATCATGTTACCATGACAATTAGGCATGACACTTAGTCATAACTGTCAATGGTTATTGCGGTAGGGATTATTTGGTTTAACATGCATTTGGAATAAACTTATATTTTCTATGTGTTAAATTTATAATTTTTCTTTATTTATAGTTCCTGAACTAGGCTTTGTGAATAGTCAGATAATTTCGCAAAGAGAATCCACCCAACCAAAAATGAACCCAATCACAGAAGATGACTTCTTCCCAGACGTCACAAACGACGACATTAAAACGACGCGTTCCAGTAAAAGCAGCGACACCAGTGTTGGTAGCCTCTCCAGCAGACGTTTGTCTAGTGAACTTCCAAGAATCGACAAGTTAAACAGCGCCTTAATATCAACGCAAAGAAAATCAAGAACAAGTAAGTTATACATGCAATTTGTCTTCTCTCTCGTGTTGAAGGGCAGCGCACCCTACACAATCAATAGATTTTAGTATGAAGTCAACACAAAAGCCAGTGGCGCCCATTGTGAATGACCAATCTTCATTTCGTCATAATTTTTATAAACTAAATCTGTCGTTATATCGCAGTTTATCTCATTTTAACCGAATTTAGTGATTAGTTGTCCTGTAGGTAAGTATGCGTATAGCAGACTGTACCTATATAGAAGGGTGTTTATAGGTTGGATAGATCAAAATTCCAAGTGAGATTCGGGATTTGAAGAAAAATATGAAGCGGGGCACAGAATTTTATATTATCGCGGGAAGCAGGATTATAGGATATGAAGGGAAAATTGATCGTCCCTAGGCCTCTTTCTGTAATTAGCTTGTACATGTGATTATATTTAATATTTATATGATGTTTGCTCCTTTCCATGTTTCAAAACAGTGTCCGTTGTCAACAATGTTGGTGAACTATCAAGCATTTTTCCACGAAGAACCAGATCCTATTCATTGCCATCAACATCAGTGAGTCAATTTTTTCAAGCTATAACCAAATTTACTGGTATACCTTATTTATTTTTAATTTTTGTTTTTGAAATTTTTGTCCAGTAATTTCATTTTACCGTTTTCAGATATCTAGCGAGTTTCCAAAACTTTCAAGGAAGAAGCCTGCGTTTGTTCAAATTGACCTACTACATCCAAAAAGAGTATTTGTAAGTAGTTTTACTAATTGCATAACGATTTAGAGATTACAGACGACAAAGCGTTGAGTTAAAAATTAGATACATTATTCTAGAAACATTATTTAGAGGGATTCGCCTTAGTTGCCCCTCTCCTCCCCAAATAATTTTGTGAACGTCAGGAAAATGTTCGGCCGTCCCCCTAAATCTTTTTCCTCCCGTACCGCCTATATGGACATACCTGTAGACAGCTATTGACTGGGAACCACTAAAACTGATCTAAAGTAATACAGGAACAGTTATCTGCTTTGATACTTATGTGAATGTCACGTGCGGGTTGCTCCATTTACTGTTTCCGGTTTTTCTGAACACTTATAAAATCGAACCAAACACGGCGGTCACATGACTGTTCTTGTTGCCCCTACTCAAACGTAGGGGCAGCCAGAACAGTCGGAACAGTCATGTGACCGTGTTCAGTTCGATTATGTTAGTGTTCTGAAACTCCGGAGTACTAGTACTCCAAATAGTAAATGGAGCAGCCTGCATGATGAATACACTAAATTAACCTCCTGGTCCATAGTTTAGGAATGATTTATTATGTTTATTTCATTCGACAGGGTTTGTCTGAACTTGACTTTGAGTACAACGCTTTGCATTCAGGACAACCAGCGAACGTTAGTTTGGTAAGTTGCTTATTGTTACGCATTTGATAAAATGACAATAAATAATATGATGACTTGTAATTTTCAGGTTAGCCGAGGAGCAGAATGTATAATGATCTCAAAGAAATTTTTCATGGAACATGCCAACGCATTAACAAAGCGATGGATCCGCTTAAACGTAAGTGTCACGGTCCCTTTTTTTAAAGCTCATTTTCACACATGTGATATTTCCTACGAAAGAGCACGATTTATCGGTTCTCTTAATTCTTACCTTAACTCTGCTCGATTGATCCTTGTCGCTATAATATGAATTGCTGCAGAAAATTCTGTTAAATTTGTAGATTTCTTGTCATAGAACTGCACTAAGTCGAGGCTCACTGCTGTAATTTGCTATAGAAACACAGTTTAACACGAAGCCTCATTCTCACGCTATTGTATGTGAGCATGCGATCGTAATTTGGGCCACCATCCCAGGCGTTTTCTTCCGCAAGAGGAGAAAGCTGGGAACGAGGACACGACTTATTATTTTATCATGCATTATTCTGCTGCTTCAGGTGCAACCTTACTTGCCGACGGAGAGGCATCAGCAAACTTTACAAGAAAAGATTGACTGGGATGCGTTTAAAAGGAAACTGGTAACTAGTGTTGTCAAGGAAAATTCTAAAACAAACCTTACATAGCCTAACACGCAAGAACAGGACTATATTGGGGTTAGGTTGAGTGGAAATTTTGGCACGACCGCGAAAACTCAAGAAATCGACGTGTTTCTTCCCGTTAGTGATGGCGTCGGTTCTTTTTGCTTGAAAATCAAAAGAACAATCTACGCATTTTCCTGAATTCCACTGAGCAAGAACAGCTGTAGCCGCGACATTAACGGCTCTATTTTACGCCCGTGACGTAAAAGCACTATATAGCTATCCACTGCAATACAGGTTGATATAGGATGTCGTTTTGCAAATCAAACGAAGCCGGTATAGTAAAATCATCCAGTTCTGAAAGAATTAACATCTTATTACAAACATGTTGGATCGCTGATTTACTCGTAGTCGCACTCATAATGAAATCTACAGTTCTTTCTGCATGTTGTGCTATTTTTGAATTACTTCAAAAAGTAAGTCAGTCGTTGTTGCTGAAATAGATGTGGTTTCAAGTCTTGATATCAGAAAATCATATTTATTAACAGATGAATTAATGAAAACTATTTAAAATACCAACGTCTAGAAATGATATAAAAATATATGGTGTATACTGTATGAATTGCTTAATTTATATACTATTGATCACTAATTGCAATAATTCCCAATAATGAATGTCAAAGGTTTATGATAGATATGTGAGTTAATGGGCGTATAGCAAATTCTCTTTTGCGATTGCGATGGTAAATATTTGTCCAGTATAGCTACTTATTATAAATCTATACTGTAATGTACTAATATTTATTCATAGAATTTATGTAATACAAGACGCTGATAAATCCCCATTTCTAGCTGCTCTTGTTTTGGTGACTTTTTTCAGTTGCAGCAACAAGAGAACCAAAGAGTGAGTCTTTGTTTGCCAGAAGTGCAGACGGTTTGTCAAATTCAACAATCTGAAATAAAATAGAAATATATTGATGAAAATGTATTATTGCTGCCGCACAAACGAGCCCTACACTTGCTTTGCGGCCTATTAGAAAACTTCAATAATGATGGTGATTTCACCTCATGAAAATACTTTTTGTATCTGCGCGAAGCGCTAGATACTACAGTGTGCTATCGTGTGTGTGTGTGCGTTAAACACTCAGGTAGACTAATTAGGGCTGTACGCCTGCGAAGAGGCAGTAAAACAAATATGGTGGCTTTCTCGCAGATACATGTACGCCAAGCGTACCTATTTTTATGATTGCACACATATAAACATTCAATATTTATTACTGCTTATTGCATTCTTATCTCATTCTTATCTTGAATCAATTCATTTGGTTATTTCCTCATGTTTCCTGCACAGTTGCATGGGTTAAGGATATAGGTTGGTGATTGGACTCAAGATCAAAACGAAACAAATTCGTGCATGAAACACGGGAATGTAACCTTCATGTGCGCCTGCCATGCTAAAACAGGCAAACGTGGAAACGAAGCAATTTAATGTGCCAAAAGCAAGCAGACGATTTGCTTTATAAAGAAAGTGGAAGATTTTATATAAATTTACGAGGTTAGTTTTTGTGTTCCACTCTGTGTTATTTCAGTGCTTTTAAAAGTTTTCACCAGTTTTAAACGTTTTGACGCCACGAGCGTCAGCAGCCTTAAATCTGTCTCTATTAAATGCCGCCAAAATCCTGGCGATTGACTGTTTAATTCGTGCGCTTATGAACCAAATGAGAACATTATAACATGGTTTATTTATTACACATAAAAATGTCATCTTTTGATATTTGAATGCAAGACGACAAATGAAGTTGCATATATTAAGCCATGATGCATGTCAAAGGCATGTTAAAGTTTGAGTAACAGTTTATAATTACTCGCGGTTCACAATTGACGCCATCTTGGGTGATTTTCAAAACACACATGAAATATGATCGCCGTTGTACTTACTTGTCCTTGTTCCATGACCATAATCCTATCAGAATCCATGACTGTATTGAGACGATGAGCTATCGTTAACATAGTACAGTCTTTAAATGCTTCACGTATCGTATCCTGAATTTTTGCATCTAAATAAACATGTTTTTTAAATTGTTAACCACGACTTGCTAACATGCACAGCGGCTAATTTAGTTGAACACATTTTCAGAACTCATACCAGTTTCAGAGTCGATCGCCGCAGTAGCTTCATCAAGCATAAGGATCTGTAAAGATTTTTAGGAAAGTGCATTGGATGTGCCATATTTATTGAAGAAAATAGAATTTCTGAAAATTACAATATGTCCATAACCAGATCTCAAAACAATAGCAATATAAATCACTTTTTATATTCGTCCCACATTTTTTTAGAATGCACAGAGGAAATTACCTGGAAATTACCAGGCAAAATATATGGATGTCGTAATTCATTAGCCTATATCACTATTATATTGTTAGCTGGATATGCATAGAACCCAATCGTGATTGCTATAACATGAATTGAATCTTGATGATTTTCATTCAACATATATTGATTGATGTAATATTTCAAATCCGACTATGAGGAAGCCGAGGACTGAATCAAAATGCGAGTACTTGAAATCTAGTCCAGTCCGAATTGGAGGATGACATCTCATACAGATATATCACTACTTAAAGTGAAGTGAATTAATTTTGATTCAGTCCACGGATGAAATTAATTTTGATCCAGTCCTAGGACTGGATCAATATACTGAACCAGGCATCATTTATGTGAGCAAAATAAAGCAATACGGTTGGCTAATTTTGAAAATTTGCTTGAAAATGAATTATTACTGCGCGTGTAATGACGTAATGAGTATGAGATTCAATTATGATGTATTTACCCAACTCCACCAACCATATAATATAGATTTTTCCCGATTATGGTCCTGAATATGGTTGGTGGAATTGGGTAAAACAAGGTCATTCTTACTTCCGCAATTAATCACTTAACCCACCTTACAGTTTCTCAACAAAGCTCTGGCCATGCACATCAGTTGTCTTTCACCAACAGAAAAATTTTCTCCATTTTCAACAACAGGTGCTTGTAATTTCAACGGCAAATTACTGATAGTGTCTTTTATATGTGCTCTTTCCAAAGCAATCCATACGTCTTCATCGGCATGTGCGTGAAATGGATCCAGATTATATCTATTTATAGGAACCAAATTAGAAATATCATGGGTATATCATGTATAAATTAACAGTATTTGTCAGACATGTTTACAGGTGGATAACTGCAGCAATACGTTTATCTGGTTTACGATACGTTATATATATATATATATATATATATATATATATATATATATATATATATATATATATATATATATATATATATATATATATATATATATATATATACTAATAATATTAATTTGTAATTAATAATAATTATATGAAAATATTTAAAACTATGCCAACGATTCTTAATGGAACGAAAGTTGGTTTAATCGATATTAAAAACATTATTTGAGAACCAATATAGCCATAATCTTATTGAGACAATATGCCAATAATTGAATTAAATTAATGTTTGCATGTCCAGTCTTAGCTCTATGCATCGGTTAACCATCATGCATGTTTACCAAAATTGAAAATTAATTCTAGCCTCTTATTCCCAAAGTGTTCACGGTTCTTCACATTGAATTACCTTACAGTTCCAATGAACAAGATAGGATCTTGTGGAATAATCGATAATTTTGATCGAAGATCATCGAGTCCTGGAAAGTAGACAAGAACAAAAAAATATTAGTTTAAGTGGAAGAAAAATAAAATATTAGGTTGCAGTTATGTAGTTTATAGAGCCAAAATATCCACCATATCAAAGCGTCATTGCTTTCAAAGCAACAGAAGTACTTTAGTACAGGTATGGATACCATCCTAATGAAAAGCTCGTGCATGGGAAAATCTTCTTTTATGGCAATAATATATTTTAAATAATTACAACCTGGTATAACTTGACTGTTGATCATTCTTACCAATGTCCAATATATTAACTCCATCTATACATATTGTCCCATCTGCAGGTTCCACAAGTCGAAAAAGAGATACTCCAATAGAAGATTTTCCTGAACCAGTTCGACCTACAATGCCTATTTTCTCCTCGGCTTTGATATTACAAGTGATGCCTTTTAAGACTAATGGTAAACCTTCTCTGTATCGCATCTGGTAAAACAAAAGAGAGGATTATCTCAGTAATGTTTATAATTATGGTAATGAAACCGTAATACGCAGGACAACGTCGCGTATTGTGAAATGAACTTCACAACGTACATGCAACCCTTGTAAAGGACACTCGATCGATTTTAATTTCTTGATTGGAATATTAACAAATTATATAAATCACAGAGACGGCTAACAGAAAGCCTGATCTTATCTTCCAAGTTTTATAAGATTTTCGTAAATTTGGCAATTTATTTTCATATTAATCTGACAACTGCAATCGAGCAACGAAAAATTCGTTGTCTCGAGCGGGATTTGAACTCGCATCTTCGGGTATCTAGACCGCCGATAGGTAGCATCTTCGGGTATCTAGACCGTCGATAGCTCAATAGGTAGAGCGGCGGTCTAGATACCCGAAGATGCGAGTTCAAATCCCGCTCGAGCCAACGAATTTTTCGTTGCTCGATTGCAGTGCCAGATTAATATGAAACTAGTTTTCCTATCTCTGAGGATGGTTCTGAAATAGAATTGGCAATTTATATTATATATTTTTATGTAGTCACGGTGGCTGATAATTTTAGATGTTGATTTTGTCTCAGCTCAAGACGATTTTTAGTAGTTACAGCGTCGAAATGAAAACATCCTGAGCAGTGACAGAGCGTATAGCTGAGCAGTGGACCGTTTTTGTAGTTTATACCACGTAAGTGAGCGCCATTGAGATACCGTTTGGATTATGTTGTGATTTGCCAGTGGGGATTAAGATCGGGGCTATGGGCATGCTTGATAATATCCATCGACTTTTCATAAAACGTATCATGTCTTACTATTTTGTAAAGCCATATTATTATTATTTTATAGTTGGTCCATGATATTTAGAAATACTGCATGTCTCCCCCCCCCCCTCTCACTCCTCCTATAGCACAATGTCGGTCAAAACATTGATTACTGAATGACAAGTCAACATTGTATAGGGAGCGGGGGGATTTCGGAAATTTTTCAATCGTCTACAAATTAATTTCAACGCTTGTAGGCTAGGAACGATATATTTATATAAATTGGTGAACGTAATAAAAGTTACCTTCAGACCAACCATAGACAAACTTCCTTTGGCAGGCCAGACATCGGCAGGTTTCTTGTCAGGAATTGAGCTGGGAGCTTCTTGCTTCAAATTATCGATGTAATGAAGAAGACGTTCCACACTGGTAAATATTGCTTCAGTCTCAGCTGTAAGACGAACTGTGAATTGCAGTGTACCTGACATCTGACAACAAAATGCGAACGATATTAGTAAGATTTGATCAAATAGTAAATAGTGCAATAAGCAACAACATAATACTGAAACAAATATTTCCAGGAAATTCTTGAAACTGATAATCGGAAACTGATATGATCTTGGAAAATCCCAGGAGATACAGTATCGTTGTATAGGTTTCATACAGTATACACTGCAAGTTGGTTACAATGCAGGTCAACTGTAAAAAAAGGCCGAGTAATCATTATTTTATAACTACTGTAAACATATTTTATATGTATTGATCTTTGGCGGCAAATACATGAATCATAACAGATGACCATGCTCCTGCATGTTTAGCATTTAATTTTAATTATTGAAATTCAACTATTGCATGATATAGTATTATTAATACTATAGAGAAATTTCTGTTCTGTTTTGAAATTCCTTAACAAGATCGTATAAGATACTGGAAATGTAGCTTCCTCCGCAGGCCTCTCCGACCACCCAATTCCTCGGGTGATATACCTGCGGAGGAGGCTACTGGAAATGCGGGATGCTATAAACTAGCTACTTACTCGTATAGCATAAGTAATGGCCAGTCCACCCATGGCAGCAGGAACATTATCTCGAAGTAGAACCACAAGCAGTGCCGTGACTGTTGTAATACCAATAGTGATTATATCTAGCCGCACAGCCAACCAACGATGAGAACAAGCAAACATGAAAAATGGCAAAGTATTTCCATCCAGTAATTTTTCAAATTTTTCCACAAATTCCTCAGTTTTCCCGTAGGCATGCAGAGTTGAAAGTCCTTGTACTGAGGCAGAAATATGAGAGAAAATAGGAGACCTTGATATGTTATCGAGACGTTTTAACTCACGAACAGAACGACGAAAAACAATATTTAGGAAAATGAATAGAGCAATGAAGAAAACAAGCGCAATAATGAACCAGTAAAATAGCACAGCAATGAGGATTATGGTCACTAGTAGTAAAGACAAGTTCAGAACCAAAGCTTCGACCAAGAAAGGTAATCTTGTGTCCATCTCATCAATGTCTTTTGAGAATCTGTTCAAGATCTGTCCAATAGGCGTCGTGTCAAAGAATTCCATGGGACTTTTCGTGACAGCCCGGAATACCTGATTATGAAGGTTAGACGAAGCACGCAGAACGGTATTCACATAGATGAAACATTTTACGACAAGAAGAAACATAAGAAGTGCCAGTGATGATCCAAAAATAGCTGCATAGAAATCAAGATCAGGGTTGTCATTTAATTCACCAGGAGACAAATCACTTTCAGTCTAAAATTTTAAAAATGTATTCAAATTAAGAATTAAGGCTATATAGCCTATAGATGTTAATTAATTTTAGTAAACAAACTGACCACACGCGCAGGGCTTATTGCTTTGTTAACAACTCAATTTTCAGGGTAAGTTAAAAACTAAAATAAATTAAATGCAGTGATTCGATCAAATGCTCTTCATCATGCAGCGTCAAATTTCAAGGCAATATACAGTACATTATTGCCATACAGCCTAACTCAGCTGCGATACGCTCTACGAAATATCGTCGTTGACACACATCACCAATGCAGACTTTTTCGTTTTTACTATTTGGAAATATTCCAACTATTATGTGTATATATATGGCACTGTCACATTGTACAGTGAATCAGGTCTAAAACAAGAGTTGCGTCTTACGCTGTTGCCATTTCCATCATTAATCCAACGCCCAAGCCAAAAGTCAGTAAAAATTCTCAACAACGTTATGGTGAGCAGGATCAATACCACACTGGCAGCAACGCAAAAACCTAGAGCAACAATCAAGGTTGTGGATAAGGACATTAGCACCATTCCATGCATGTCTAGCTTAATTTACAAGCGTGCAGTTTCGAAATATATGGAATATATATAACTGAGACATTGGCATACATGCAGCCGTGCGGTTGCATGTATATATAGAGTGTTTTGGAGCGAATTTCTGCCCATTAATTGGGCACAGTGCGTGAATGAATAAAGTACTTATTTATCAAAAACTGATGTATATTTTTGAGCGAGAATATTATAAAATATCATGCATGCTCAACGACTGAGAAACTAACCTCCAGCTGCTTTACAATAACGTATATATGTCGAAAATGATACACCTCCTTTTTTTCGATCTTCGGCTTTCATAAGATTATCTAAAATAAAGAAAAATTTGTGTGTTCACACTGTTAATTTCAAGGAGTAGATACTAGTAAAAAAAAGGTACCAGTTGACTCTGTTTTGGGAGTATTTTTTACTCCAACATTTTAACTCCATTTTTAGAGTACTTTCTACCTCACAAATGAATTAATATTTATCAACAGGAATATATAATATACAAGATATAATTAATTTGAAGTCTCGTATGATGTCGAGTGCAATTGCATGTGAATCAGTGGAACGGTCTTGAAAAAGTTGTCATAATTCTACGAATTGTTATAGGCCTATAATTGGCGACTTTGGCGTAATTAGGCAAATTGATTCATTGACTCCTGTTCAAGTGATATTACAACATCCTATGCCATATTAATATTATATTGTGGAAACTCATTTTTAATCCTCAGTCCTACCTTTTCCCTTCTCCACTCCATTCATTTTACTCTCGTCGTTCATTTCTTTCTTTTCTTCAGTCGCATTTGGCTGATTGTCTCCAATACTTTGAGTAGAAAGAGTTCTCTTTCTTACAATTTCTTCAAGAAGTTTACTGGTGTTTTCTTCTTCATCTTCATCCTCGTTCTCTTCTGCCTCCAACCTCTGATGATAATTGTTTATCAAAACTGAAAAATCCTAACGGAAAAAGTTGTTATATGAATTGACTTATTTCATTTGCAACTTACGTGTAGTTGAGCGCGCCTAAAATAATTACACCAACATCACAACAACAGATTGCTAAGACGCGGACTTTCACTGTGTAGTAAAGTGGTGTGCTGTATCTAAACTTTCGCTTTGCTTGCAAGAGCTTGTTACTAAAGGCTCCAAGGCTTGATGCCCGCGAGGAATGGTGGTCTTAGTAGTCATCGCCCAGGAAAATTAAATAATTCAAAATGGCCACTATCGAAATTTTCCCGGGCGAAGCTACTAAGATCACCATTCCTAGCGGGCATCAAGCCTTGTGACGTCATTATGCATATAAAGGTCTATGTTTCAAATTAGTATTGCAACCAATATCGATATACAGAATCAGTTCATTTACTAAAACTCTAAGTTTTCCTATACAAACTAAGGTTTTCTTGATTATTATTCATTCTGATTCAACTGTATATGAAATGAAATCCCTACACAGTCAACCATTCATTAATTGGGCCCCTTTTTTATTAAATTTGATGTTACTACGCGTGGCCATCTTTCTCGTCTACAGAGACACTTGAGCATAGGTGGTTCCGTTAAATAGTTTAATTTTGAACGCTATATACCTTTTCATCTTGCATAAGTGTTTCATATTTACCCATTTCAGCAACACGTCCAGCTTTCAAAAGAATGACTGTGTCGCAATGGCTCAGATACTATATTATAAAACAGTTTAAATTGTTCACTGATGTTTCATATATTGCAAAGCGAAATTAAACATACATCTAAAGGTCGATTTACACTACACAACTTTTGCCGAACACTGTCGCATGCAACCTGCTTACTACTTGAGTTGTACTGTAATCAAGCATAGGCGAACCTCCCCAGTTCTTCGTTCTTCTTAAGTCGGGCAATTTTTTGCTCACTGTCGGGCAAAAATAATTTTGGCGCCGGGGGTGGGGATCACAAGACGTTGTGCAAAAAGCGACCGCCCCCTAAACTTTTGTTGCCCGTACGCCTATGAAATCAAGCGCACAACTCGTCTACGTTGTCGCAGGTGAGTTGTAGGCTATGTTGATTTACACAGTACGACTCAAGTTATAAACAGGTTGCACGCGACAGTTTTAGGCAAAGTTGTGTACTGTAAATCGGCCTTAAAGCAGTTATATACATTTGTATATACGTCCGACTATTAAATACTGAAACTGTACATCTCTTCGAAGTCACGATATTTATTATATTTGCAACATCGTTAGCTGTTGCGGAGTGTGACATGCGACATGTGGACAAACAATATTCGTTTCAGAATATGTATTAGTTGTATTTAATAGTATTGGCTGAGGGATGGAACGGGACAAATGCGATGTTGGGTATAGACAGTAGAGATTATGTATGTACTCGTTAATAATTACGATCTAAAGCAGGTGCCGCGGAACCGGAGGGGACACTTTTTTCACTTTTTTAAAATTTTTCCGAGGAAGTGCCCCATTTAAAGAACGAAAAAAGTATTTCTTGAATAAACGCCCTTTTTTGCTGGAAAGAAAGTGCCCTTTTTGCAGTAGTAAAGACTCTGTAAAGGCCATTTCCGACGTTATAGAGATTCCATATTTTCAAACATTTTCGTTCGGCTCGTGAACGATATAAAATCGTTTGATTTTGGTCATATACAAAAGTGCCCCTTTTGGCCAATTCCCCTCCACTTTCGAAATGCTTCCGCGGCCTCTGACAACAAGACATCTATATAACTGATAACCATACCTGTAATTGATGGGTGACAAAAATAATAGTTTTGTCAGCTAATGTGCCTTTGATACAATTATCGAAAATATGCTGTCCAACATGGCTGTCCACGGCACTCAGTGGATCATCAAGCAGATAGATATCCTAGAAACAGCAGAAGCAGTTTTAACTCAGGGGCCGATTGTTTGAAAGCAGATAAGCAAAATTCAAAGAAAACTTCCCAACAGCATGTTTATAAATTCTGAAATATTTCTTTAGATATCTTGTCTGGATCAGTAGGAATTTTCTTCTCAGTCCGAAGTTTTGAAACAAAAAGATGTGCAGAAATACATACACGAAAAAAGGTTAAATTTTAACCAAGGATTAGGGCTAATTCAGCTATTATAATAACCAACTCTAGATGTATAAGTTTCAGAACAAAAACAGTATAGTGGTATGGCTACCTTGTCAGCATACACTGCTCTTGCCAAACTAATTCTTTGTTTTTGTCCACCACTGAGGTTTATTCCTCGTTCACCGACCTAAATGTGGGTACAGAGGAGTTTACTGCGTATAGAAGACGCGTCAATGGCAAAAATATATAATTGCATAGAAAAACATTCCTGTATATATTTACTATCCTATGAATTAAATACAGTTTCAGTAGGAAGAACAATTTCAATAAACTTTAATGGTAACATTGTATAAGAGGCATGGCAATCAGTATTTTGCCGTTGTCAACAGAGCCTGGACGACTTTTGAAACTCCCCAAACTTCATTCTTTTGGTGATATATAGTGAATGTCATTCAATCAATCAATCAATCAATCAATCACGTTTTATTAAAATGACGTTGGTGTCCTTCAAGAATATAAGCTCCCGTATTAGCCCAGGGCTCCGCGACGTTTTGATACAAGGCCCTAACACTCTTGAAGATGAAAATGTCAGGATCCATCAAGTATCAACAACGGTTTCCGTCATACAGTATATACAGTATATAGGTAGTATACATGCAATTCACTCAACTCTTTTACCAGCTAGTATCATAAGACTGACCTCTGTTTGATCTCCGTGTGGGAATATGTCCAGATCTTGCTTCAAACTGCATGCTGAAATTACTTTTTCATACCTATATATGACAATCAATTACTGGCTGTTATTCAATAATGAGAGAATAAGCGCTGGGCCAGGGGCCAAACTTTTCAAGGGGGACGTCATAGTTGTAAAATGGGAGAAGCGGACAACGTATACGTGGACTACGAAGCCCTGAGTACGATGTCGGGACCTTCTTCGTTTTGAGGGCCACATTTGGGTTGGGCCCCCGGAGAAGATGCCCCCCCCCCTTCTACTCCTCTTGACGATCCTGACCGTACACATGACCTATTTTTTAAGATTATGAAAATGAAAAGGAATGCAAAGGAATATACACCTACCGTACAGGTTTGAACACTTGACCAAATACGATATTTTCCTTGACAGAAGCATTCATTAGCCATGCCTTGATAATAACATAAATTTAAAGCGAAATTGTACCCCCAGTACGTTTTATACAACAGTACAGTACGTACAGTATGTCGATTATCGTACACGTTTCATGCAAGCACTCTGTTTTAACGACATAAGACTACGTTCACTAATTATCGGACGAATTCAGAACCGTACGATTTTGTCCTGCGTGTTTACATGGAGCGCATGAAACCGGATGAATTCGAGCACAATTAACCGCAAGAATTTCCGTGTGAAGAAATGGAATCGAATTCGTCCGATTTCGTGTGATCGTAGTCACGGCTGAAAAATCTCTTTCGATCTATTCGCGTACCTGTTGAGCAACATAAGCCATGGAGCCATTGACAGAGACACTCCCTTCAACGAGATTCATCTAAAATAAGGAAACGTTATATTACTTATCGGAGTTAATATATAGTATACTGATTTTAATTTTATAGCGAATTCTAATTTTACTTACAAGCTATTACGCGGATAGGTGATAGCATTTTATTAAATTAAACACATTATATATTTATATATTCAAAATAACTGTCAAAAGACAGAACAACCTGACTGTGCCGCTGAGTGTATTCTGAATGAAGATACCCTTTGTCTGTTTAAAATAACGTTGAATATCAAGAACAAAACAGTAACTCTTCGAATGAACTTGCAAACCCTTTTTCAACGCTTGGAAATCAAAACATTTTCTGTGTCAAGATACTGCCCCAATCAGCAATGTATAGAAGGCGAAACTATGATTCTATAATACAAATCTACAATAAACTGGGATTTGGGTGGCACAGAATTACGCCCGTCTTCACTTTTCAACAACGGTGTTATCCAGTGTTTATACAGATCAGTGGCGCGTGCGCATTCCTTCTCCTCACTCCACCTTCTATATCTCATTTCTTCCCTCCTCCACATCAAAAATGGGCTTTATCAGCACCTACTGGTGTTCATGGTATTGCACGTGTAGGTTTTATCTCCAAAATGTGGCAGCAATTTTCCAAATAACGGCGCCCTACTCACCTGGGCAAGGATTGCATTGATCAAAGAACTTTTACCGCTCCCAACGCCGCCACATATCCCAATAAGTTTACCCTAAACAATGGTTTTAAGGATTATTGAATAATACGCGCTCTGTTCATTGCATTGAGATATCCTCCTCTTCCCCCCTTCCCTCCCTCCCTCCTTCCCTCCCTCCCTCCTCCCTCCCTCCCTCCCTGGTTGTTTTGGTCCTTTGGAAGACGAATGAAGGGGTTATGGTTATTACTCTTAAATTTTGATTATTAAGGTTGATCCCTATCCCGGGATCCCGGTCGCCGTTTTTAATATTTAATATTTAATGCTATATTCTGTAATATATTCTCAACCACGACAATAAGATTGTAATTATGTAATCTTGCTTACAGTCCGCACATTGGCTGAATTACCTGAGATTTTTATAAAATTAAAATACTAATTTATTTTTACCTTATTAAAAGTGACATTAACGTCAAACAAGGTCTTTACAAGCTGTGTTTTAAACTCCTCAGGAGCAGGACCACCTCTACCTGGAGGTCCACCCCTCCCTCCTCCTGATCTACTTCCATTGGTTGCAGATGATCGATCTTTAACACAAAAATTTGAAAAATACTCGTCATTATAAAAAAATACTATATAGGGATCATACAAAATGTACTAATGGGCATGGTTTTAATTTGTGCTTTTAAAACGAAAATCAGGTCCAATGCCGATACTTTCGAAGATATTGAACTGACAGTACTTTGATAAACAAAATACATGCAAATAAGCTTAAGCACAACACAACACAACACAACACAACACAACACAACACAACACAACACAACACAACACAACACACAGCAAGCATTTGTTGTTTACAGAATTTCTACTTGGCCTGCAACTGCATGCTGGCACTAACTATTTTTTAAATTATGTATGTATACCCCATACATGCAGTTGTTTTGACGTTCCCCCACAAAGGTTAATAGATTGGAGATGTATTATTTTGTTCCAAAGAAGAATTTTTTACGAAATGTTTTTTCCACTATAAATCCTGCTTTTTATATACCCCATAAACTAATTTTGGCACGATCTCTTCTTACAAAACTCAATACCTTTTCCCTTACTGACACTGTCTTTTGTTTGTTTTCCGTTTTTCTCTTCACCTGGTGTGATTTTTTTCTGTTCTTTTAGCTTCACCTGAAATGATGTCAGACGTCGTTCACTATTACAGCCATCAAGAATTTAATATTAATCCATGGGGCATGAGTATATATTTTGCCTATGAATTTGCTGATAGCATATAACACGCGGTGTAGCTTTGTGTACAGGAAATTAAATGATAAAATATACCTACCTCATTCCATCCAAAGGTAGCCGACTTTATTTCTACGACCACATTTTCATCTTCAGGTTTTGTTGCCCATGGTTCATGTTCTTCCATTATCAATAAACTCTAAGATAAAAATAAGAAAGTAAAATTATATAGTAGGCCTAGCTTTGGATTGCAGTTCGTGAAGTTCTAACAGACAGAAGGAAAACTGTTGCGTGAAAGCAATTAAAAGTTATTCTCCTTGTCCTCTTTCTTTGCAAGTGGGAACATTAAACAGTGACTAAGCCGGAAAATGTTGCTATAATGCGGTTTTTGTCTGAAACTCAGTAAGAGTATGGTAACATCGTTTTAAAAAACCGTGAACTTCAAACAATTAAACTTTATTATACCTTAAGCCTCTTCATCGAAACCCTGGCTTCTGCAATAGCTTTAATAGCAAATGGTAGGATTGCGAAGGCGAAGATCATGGTATTAAAAACGCTAATCACTGTAAAAGCCTATATATATAAGGGAAAAGTTGAAACACAACGGTAAGGATGGAAAATGAAACATATCATTTTTAAAAACTGAAAATGGATGTGTTTTGAACAATTTTTTAAATAAAATAATATCCCTCATCAGAATGTATTGATTGGAACAGTATAAATATATTCATTTTTGTCTGGCCAGTCATTATGTATGTATGACCATATAGGCCTAGGAGAGGGCTTATGTTAGACTCTACTAAAAGATCGGGCAGATTCTATACTTAAAAATGTTTTGTAATAGGTCGGGCAATTTGGATCAAGATCGGGAAATTTTTGTCAGTCCCAAATCTGTTCCGTACGCTAATGGGTATGACAACTGAAAGTGACAAAAGGGGGGTGAGGGGGGATCTGCAAAAACTATACAGTAGCTATATAAAAGCTCTAAAATGTTTCGCATCATTGACACTTTAACAAAAGATACTAAGGACAAGATCCACAAGAATATCAGAAGAGGACATTTTATTTTCATGTCCTAACAAAAAATCATCCAAAGACAAAAGCTCTACGTGGAGACTTTCTTCGCGACAAACACAACAAGCGCGTTATATAAAGTATGTTTCTTTGGTTCAAAAATAATTGCCTGCAGCCTGCGATCACAATCATGCAACTAATGTAAAACACATAATTATATTCTTTCTCAGTGTTTAAGTATCTATAAGTACTTAATACCAACCTGTGAGGCTAAAAGATTGTTATCAGTATAAATATGAACAATAAAAGTGATTACAGTTGCGAAGGTTGACACAACGCTAGTCATAGAAATATTTAAACTTTGCAAAACAGCTGAATGAGCAAGAACAGTCTTTTCTTTTTCACGGATTTCTGAAAAAAAGTACGCAAATCATGTTTAACAGCTCCAGACAAAGTAAAATCCACCTTGTAGCAGTTCTGGACTGTTTTTATGTATATAATTCACATCTGTCGTGCAAATATAACCAGAAAAATATAACTGTTTTGGCATAGAAAACAGTCCACATTAATTATACGGTTGGCAGCTACCAAAGCTGCTGGATGCTAATCTTACTCGATATATCTAGGCATAGACGTAGGCCGGTAGGGCCTTTAATCGCCAGGGCTTTTACTCCGGCGCCAAGGCTTTTACTCGCCAGAGCTTTTACTCGCCAGGCAGGGACGTCGCTATAGGAGGGAGGGCGTGGGGGGGGGGGGGGGGGGGGTAACGTTGGTCAAAGTTGGTCAAAATAGAACTGATATTTGCCCAAAGTTGGTCAAAATGGAACTGATATTTGCGTAAATTTGAAGGTAAAACTCGGGATAAAAGATGACCGAAGTTGCTCAAAGTTATGAAATGGTTCGCAATTTTAACAATCTTAAAGCTTTTGTTATGTTTGCGGTGAAAAAATTGGAAGCTTTGCTTATTTTGGTCGAAATATTTTGGATATGCTTATGTTAGTCCGGAAAATGTTTTTTGACTATGCTAGTATGCTTATGTTAGTCCGGAAAATTTTTTTGGCCTCCCCCCATCGACAACATTTCCGGGAAAATTTGCACGACTTGGTCAAAATCCTAGGAAATGTTGGTCAAACCATGACGACCCCCCAATGTTGATGGCTTCGCGACGTCCCTGTCGCCAGGGCTTTTACTCACTCGCCAGGGCTTTTACTCGCCAGGGCTTTTACTCGCCAGGCAGTACGTGCACTTGATTTGCAGGTTAATCGACTTCAATGACGTCCCTATCCTCGTCCACAGGGCCTCTCGGCCGCTCGCGTCCTCCCTAGGCCCTGGGACACACGGAACTGGAAGTGCAAGAAAACTTGCAGTAGTTTCTAAAGCGCATGCTCTTAAATTGGGACGCTTAAACACCCGTAACAATTTTCACAGTGAAGTATTACGAAGAAACGAAATATTTGTGTTGACATATGTTGATAGAATAAATTTGCCTAGTGAAAGTTGCTCAACTTCTGCGAAATAGCAGTTCTCTGAGAAGCCAGTCAGATTTCTCTCTTTAGTCGTCTAACCCAGAGCATAATTTTCAACGAGTGTGACCGAGTGTGACCGAGTGAAAATGGCTCTAGGGACGAGAATGTGATGTCCCTCGCCCACAAATTGCCTAGACTCCAGGCTTCTCACATGAAAAAGCGCTAAAATATAAATAGAAGGCCTAGGTCTAGGCTGAAAAAAAATCGACTAAAATATGTCGTCTTTCTTACTCATGTGAATCACTCAGGAGCTGACATGGTCAGCGAATGGTCCTGGGATTCGAGCTACTTGGATATAGATCGTGAGCATGTCCGTGCAGTCCGGGCCTAACCACCGAACTTTTCACCTTATGATCACAACAAACAAAGACGTGTTCGGCAGAAATTAGAAAACCGAAATTTTCCAATTGTTACAGAAAAAAATGAATTCGGCTTACATTCCTCTCTAAACAGAGCACGCCCCGCATTCCCCAGTTTGCTATATATTAGCTAAACATATGCACCCGGTTGTCACTCTCATATCGGATGACCTGAGGGTATGAGCCATGCCTAGACTACAACATTAAATATGGTCATTCTCATTAATATAAGCTAAATACTTCACCTCCAATCACTTTAGCAAATGACTTCTCCCAGGCGTACATTTTGATTAACTTTATACAACTCAACACTTCATTCATCAACTTTACTCTTTGATCAGTTACACGAACAGCCTTTGCTCTAAATTTACCCGAAATCCTTCCAACGACACCCTAATTCATAGAAATAGAGAAACAGTTTCATATTTATTGTTGCACTGCAGGGAACAACGAAAATTCGATGTCTCGAGTAGGATTCGAATTCACATTAGCTTCAGGTTTCTAGTCGCGGCTTCCTGGATTTTGCATTTAATTCTTCGTAAAAAGTGTCATCCACAGATGATATGCCGGCAAACGTGAAACAAAGAAATGGGAGAAAATAACATTACAAACCTGAATTGGAAACATTATTAAAAATATAAAGCATCCAAGCAAAGCTGAAGGTCCTATTATGTATGTTGTGTAAGCTATAACAATAATAAGTGCGATAGGTCCACCTACACCAAAGAAGAACAAGGAATGCGAGTTATTTTCTCATACAAGAACTTGAAACAATACATGGGGAGGGGAGGGGGGGCAGAGGTGGGAGAATGGACCATTTACAAAATTACTTCACCTCGCGTATTTCACGTAAGAATTTAAACAAGTCCAGAAAAAACAGGAATTCCGGATATATTTGTAATGAGCAACATGCTTATAGCTATACTTACCAAGTACAAAAGGACCAAATGAAAAAGCTTCGAAAACACGTTGGGCATCGCTGGCACAAATATTTACAAGCTAGATAGGAGAATATTTTCAAGATAAGTTTTCAATAAAAAGAAGGAGTGCCGGTACAAAGATATATTCAGGAAATTTATCTGGTTATGGTACAGATAAACTTTATCGGGTGATGCATGAAAGCAAAACGTTGTAAAAAAGCGCAATGACACGCAATTTATACCAGACAGATCATCAACTACGCAGACTGTTCGTTTTAATTAACAAATGATATCGATCAGTGTATTTGGGTTTATACGGAAACGAATAAAGGCGATCTATCTTTTCTTTGACAAGATTCATCCACGCATGATCCATCTTTAGTGTATGTAAGTCGGTTAGCAAATTTCACCATTATGAACCACAGTGCTCTCCAATCATATATCAGAAAGCTCGACATCATACCTCTCCAATAGATTTGTCTCCAGCATTTTTCAATCTTGACATTTTGTTATAGACCATTGTCCACACCATTGACCTTGCTCTTGTGCCAGTCCTGATGTTTACTAAGAAGCTCAATGATTGAATCCAACTTCTAGCTATTTCACTTATCATCAAACCAACCACCTATATATAAGCGATCCCATTGGCGATTATGACTTTTTAGCATAATTTCAGTATTGAAAAATGGCCTTTGAGCATTCTGATTGGCTCCCTCGGTGGCTTGGCAGCATAGGCGTACCGGGTGGATTTGGGCGGTAGCCCCCCCCCCAGTTTTTTGGGCAGTCGGGCAATATTCGATCAACAGTCGGGCAATTTTGGTTTGCAATAAAAAAAACTGGGACAAATTCTGTAAATTTAGTCTAAAATTAAGTCAATTTTTTTGAAAATTTTGTGATTTTCGAGAATTTGTGTGATTTTCGAAAAATATTGGTTGTCCGGAAAATTTTTTTGACCCCTAAAATGGTACACTGACCGAAATTTTTTTGGCGACGGGGGGGGAGGTCGCCAAAATAATTTTTCCGGAAAAAATTTTTTGGTACTAGTCGGGCAGAATCACGAAAGTCGGGCAATTTTCTTTCCGCCCCCCTATTTTTTTCCTTCCGGTACGCCCATGCTTGGCAGTCACTCTGAGGCAATAGTTACTACTCTGCAATAGTTACTGCTCTGAGCAGTAACTATTGCTTTTCCCAAACAGCATGCATGGTCTTTTCATTTTTATCAGTATATATCATCATACGGTCATACTTCAATCTATGATGTATGTCATCATACATGTGCACTTTTATGTATGATGTGTATCATCATACAGACCCATTGATAACCTAACCCTCCCCCCCCCCCTAACCCCTAACCGAGGCACCTAACCCCCACCCTTAAATGGCAGAGTACAGTTTCTTCTGACACCATGTGATGTAGATAAAACAAGCCAAATGCATGAATTAAAGCAGGTGGAAACTAAATAATTATGGCATTCCAGTGTGTCAGTAAATCAAACCATAGGCTTAGCGAATAATTGCAGAATATATATATAGGTATTGTAACTGAAATTAGGCCCACATTACACGTCTAAATACTTGACTGACTTTGTTTTGCAGCCAGCGATTCAGCAAGTTGTAAAGGTCATACTTATAACAACGTCGCGTTATATAATTCATTGTTCATGATTGAAGCCATGATATTTCAACGTAATATGCAAATTACGAAAGAAGTAGAATAAATCATGTCCGTGATTTCTGGCCATGGTAATTTAATCAAATGATTATGAACTTGCTTGAAAACCTATGGTCTGATTTACTGAAATGTTAAAATGTTTAGAGACAGTTCCGTTATACGAAATTATAAGACAGTTTTAGCACGTATATATATATATATATATATATATATATATATATATATATATATATATATATATATATATATATATATATATATATATATATATATACTGGCTATATAAACCAAAATGTAAGATACCTACCAATATGATTCCTTTCTCAACTGGATCCGTTTTTGCTTCCACAAATTTCAAAATTCTGTTGATTAAAAACGCCTGGCAAGAATTAGAAGTGTGAAAATAGCAGTTAAAAGCGATCAATATACTCATCAACAATCTGATAATACTCATAACAGCACCGATTTTCCTATCCATGCACTTGATTAGTCTTCTAGAGCTGAGCATTAAGATATTATTAGAATGGTACATATTTTATGCTACTTGTACAGGGTGACCGACCCAGAAAATGTCCCCAGCTCAATTGTGTAGTATTACTACGTTGGGTTTAGCAGACGTTTCAGGTATTTATACTGTATTTAACTATAACCAACCATTTTCCTTGTAGAATCACTAAAGGTGGGAAGATTTGTCCAAATTATAGGCTTAAAGTATAATTTCAAGAAGGAATTTTTAAAGAGAATGCTAACCTATATCTGAGCTGATGATTTGTGAAACCTATCATTAACTAAGGTTTCGTTTCAAGTAAAAGATAATAAAAATGTCGCTGAAACCTAGGCCTGGTAGCGATGGAAGATGCTATATAAATGTGCTGTTCTTCCATTCTTTTTGTCCCTAAACGGCTAAAGAGCAAAGTGAGGGCATATTTTATTGATGTTGGAAAACACAACTCATCAGTTCTCTCTCCTCCGCAGAGGTTTCTATGTATTTTCCGTGACTTAGTCCATGACTTTCCGTACTTTTATGCAATGAGCCGCTGAGGAGTTTGAGAGGAGATAGGTGGTCATTTCCTTTTAATCTCCTTAATAAAGTAAAATAGATTAAGATACTTTTAACCAAATTTAACCTAATTTCCATTATTTGGAAAAGACAGAATATTGGTGTCGCCACTTTAAGTGATTCTATATAGTTGGTTATTTTGATCATCCAAATGTCAATGGAGTGACATGTATAGACTGACATTGTTCACAAATATTACTATATGGTATTCCTTAATGTTTGACATTTCATAGCTTTATTATCTGAAAATAGCTTTATCATCTCCAATTTACTAAATTGGCACTTAATTAAGTTACTTGTGCAGCACTCTACTTAACTAATTCCAAATGATGATATTGGTAACTTTATTTAAAGTTTAGAATATTTTCGTCTTTATTAACTTAAGTGCGATTAATTGTTGAACATTGTTGGAATATTGTTGGTCACAAAAAAGATTTAGCCTAAAGGGAACGTAAATATTTAATGAGTTAATTTAAACCTTATTACCAATTAAATATATATAGTTGTATACATAACAGTGACGTAACTCCTTAGGCGCCACCCGGCAAAAACCGGGGGCCCTTAGTCAGAATGCTGGGCCCCCGGTCAGAGTCTGCTGCATAAAAAAGTTTCTGAGTGACTATATTGTTATACAAGTTCTAGGCATATCGCTCTGTACATGATTATACAAAAACAGAAAATCTGTATCTTTGAAGGACTGCGCAATGTTCTGCTTGTTATTTGTACTTGTTTACGAACGCTTGAAGCATTGTCAGACTATCTACTGGCATTAGATAGTTGTCAACATCAAAGGTAACTCTGCAGGTGTCTTCAGCAGCTCTTTCGGCTTGGCAGTGATACATATTCTGCAACTATTCACGTCTTCCAAAGTCTTTCATGTCTGTTGGGTCATATCGGGCAAGAATTGTTGGCACGTCTAAAACACACTTGGTTTCCTTGGTAACTGGCATGCACGCGCTTTGTGATCTCTTTGTGAAGTGCCGTTGCTACAATTACTCGATCACCTTTGTATGAACACATAATTGTAATCTCATGGGAGGTTTATGGTCACTCTGCACAGCGATTAACTCCCTACCAGAATTAAAATGTGTACTGATTGAACCTCTCACAAGCAAAGACAATTGCCAGACGTTCCTTTTCTATCTGTGTATACCATCTTTCTGTTGCTGACAACGTTCTCGACATAAATACCTCATAAATAGGCTTTCGGTTTTAGCAGTTGTTTCCAAGTCTGCATGTCTCGCTGTACTGTCACGCTGAATTTTGGCAGACAGCCCTCACATCGTAATAGCGTAAGACGGGGTACTCCGTAACCAGTTGCTTGACACAATCGACAGCGTCTTCAAATACTTTGGCTTTTGACAGCTTTGGTAATGCTTCTTCTATCGTCGGCATTGAGTAATGAGAGCGTTTTTATTCAAGTCTCTCGGATGTACACACGCTCATTTGTTGCCACTTGGCTGCTGATCCAATCGGTCTGTTAGGTGACTTTTTTGCCGAGCACTTGGATGTGTTTCTTCAACTCAGGTTTTAGTGAAACAGCTACTCGTCTCGCAGTGTATTTTACAGGAAATAATGTTCGGGTCCACCTGAAACCGGTATTCTCTACAACCTAATTAATCTCTCAAAGACATCCGAATAGTTTTTTGAAGATGTCTTGTGGTTTCTCCACTGCTGAAGATATATCAACATTGTTTCGCGGTACATGTATTGTAATAAACTGACAACAAGGTCTATTGATTTGCATTGTTAACTCTAAAATGCTGCTCATCTTTGAATGTACACTGCAGGTTACATTCTTCCAGCTAATACTTGCACCACACTTACATCATAAAGTCTCAGTTTTTCTGTTGTCGGTTGAATAACAGACTTCCCAATTTGCTTATTTCCGTGGCTTTTGTATCTAGTTGACACTGAATTCAAGTTCCACATGGGTGAAACTCAGGGCCATAGCGAGGGGTACTGGGGGGTGGTTAACCCCCCCCCCCCCAACTTTTGTAGAATTAACATATTCGGAAAATCGGGTTGGCCATTCGGAAAATTACGGCAATAATAGTATAACAAAATTTTAGTTGTTTAAACAGAGAAAATATTATAAAATGGTATTGTCAGTATAAACCATTGGTATAAACTGATTTACGAAATCACGGCATTTACATGGATAACGTAAAAGAAATCGGTAAATGTTTTTCGGTTTATTACTTCTCAGGGTCGTAGCAGTCGATCGGGGGCAGCAGCCCTTACAATAATTTGCTGATAATCATTCTTTTTTTCCGAAAATCATGCACACCTTTATCATTTAATTGAATAATATACCTTTAAAATACTGACAATAGACTAGAGGTGTGCATCGGATCGGACGTTTATAATCCGACAATTGCCTAATGTTTAAAATCCGATCCGAAATTGTCTAATCCGAATCCGATCCGAGTTTTGAAAAAGAATTCCAATCCGATCCGATCCGAAGAATTCTTTAATAAAATAAATTTCTCATTCAAGTTGAAATATTTAACCAAATAAATATAAAAGCAAGAAATACATGTCAAGAAGCTGACAAAGTGACGTCCACTTGAAGTATCAAACGAATAATGCAGCGACAACCGCAACCATATTTTGATAAATACATGGATAATTAATTCTTGCGATAATGCATGGATAATTAATTCATTTTATTTCGGATATCGAAGTCCGATCCGACTAGGAAACAACTTTATCAATCCGATCCGAAATTTACATTTTGGTTCCGAAATCCGAACGAACCGATCGGATTCGGATCGGATTTGCACACCTCTACAATAGCACCCGTTCCGCACGTTGTAACCAATAGTTTATTGGCGTTGTAATGCCATTGTATGCAATAAAGTATTGGGTTGTAACTGAAAACAAAACCACAACCACTGCACAAAAGTTTTAGTTATAAGTGTAATTGGCTTTGCTTGGTGGACGGAGGGGAGGCGGTAGTGCAATTCCCCGGAGGGATAGCTGGCCGGGGTTAGGGCCTGCGGTGGGGCTAGGGGTTAGGGATTAGGGTTAGGGTTTGAGTTAGGATTAGCGTTTGGACTAATTGTAAATCCATTGTAACCAATACTTTATTGCATACAATGGCATTACAGCGCCAATAAATTATTGGTTACAACGTGCGGAACGGCTGACAATAGACCTTAATTTCCCCATTTGAGTGAAATTTTGATCTAGACAAGCCTGGACAACAATTTCACCACAGCTTGAAAGTGCATCACAGAATTGGTAATATTCCGAAGTTTCGTTGAATGTTGCCTTGCGAAGTTTGCCGTTTTTCAGTCATTTTGCATTACAAACGGGAAATTGATAATCAGATGATCAAACTGATTATCAATTTCCCATTTGTAATACAATGACTGGAAAACGGCAAACTTCGCAAGGCTATATTATCCGCATTTTACAACATTTCGTAACGAAATTTTTGTTTAGGCTTGTCTAGATCAAAATTTCACTCATAAGGGGAAAGGTCTATTGATTAATTTTAAGCGGCTATATTATCCATGACAAACCGCAAAGAATCATATTACCTATACTCTTTCCTGCAATATATAGTTAATTAAATACGCCTTCGCCCATTTAGTTCTGCTAAATTGTAAGCAAATTGTAAATTTCGACATACTAAAACTCTATTAACAACTCGAACCGACTTGACCACGTAGCTCAGTTGGCAGAACATTGGGCTAGTATCCCAAAGGTCGCGGGTTCGACTCCCACCGTGGCCAAGCAAACTTTTCAGCTTGCTCGCTGTGGATGCATACTCAGAGTAACGTCACAAATATCATACTAAAACTCTGACCATCAGAATTCTGTCTGCCCCCAATTAGCCTGCGTAGCAGTCGCTTTATTTTATTGTAGGTTTTGAGGATTTTTGAATAAATGGCGGGTTAGAAAAAATGGGCGAAGAGAAAAAGGGCGAGAAAAAACGGGCGAAGGAAAAGGCGAAGGAAAAGGCGAAGGAAAAATAAAGCGCCTGCAACCGTCCTTAATAAAAATTAATTCCCCGTTCAGATTCTGAACGGAAAATACTGATTGGTCAAAATCTGGCTCAAGGTGTTCTCGCTTCCGGTCCGTGCATTTTGAATAATACAAATGCCAAATGAGACGACAAAAGAATGTTTATTGAACGAAGCGCTGTATCGAATTCTTTAAAAAAAAACTGTTAAAAGGCTAACCTTGAAAGATGAACAAAGGGGTCCCAGAGATATTCTCAACGACTTTGCCATTCTCAACACAACGTTAAACTAAGCATTATCACGTCTGTCAAGCGACGTGAAAGCTTATCCCGTTATCCGACCCAAGAGGTGTTACTTAATGTCGAAATTACAGCAAACATTGCATCGCTTTAGCCGAGCTTAGCCATTTTTGAGGTTATTTGAGAAAGCTTCAAACATTTATTACAGTAATCAAATTGCTTAGCGCTCATCATTGAGCTAAAATTCATTGAGCCGGCCGTAGATCTTAAACTCTCACACGTTGTGCGCGATGTCTGTTTGTTTTCATTACATAAATTACGCCGCCACTTCACTTCATACTTGCTGCTCGTGTCTGATTGGTTGGTTGTTTTCGCCGTGGAATGTGGCCGGAAATTTCAAGTAAGTGGGCGGAATTAATTTTTATTAAGGACGGTTGCAGGCGCTTTATTTTCCCTTCGCCCTTTATTTTTCGCCGGTTTTTTTCCGCCCTTTTTTTTCTTCGTCCATTTTTCTAACTCGCCATTTATTCAAAAATCCTCAAAACCTACAATAAAATAAAGCGACTGCTACGCAGGCTAGCCCCCAATAAAAAAGAGCTTCCTACGCATTCTCGTACCCAGAGCCCTTCTTACGCGCGTTCGACGAGGGGCTCTGGCCAAATCCATATCAAACTGGCTTCTGATTGGCCACAACGAAATATATGGTTTATCGTATAAAATATGAATAAAAATCAAGAGCTCCATGAAGCGTTGGTTTCGTTTTGGAGAAAATTGGGAGAAAAGACATTATTAAAGTTGAAAGGACAGCAGTACGAAGCAGTTAGGAAGATTGTTCTTGATAATCGCCCACAAAAGCAGTAGATGTCGCTAATTTTATTTATTTAAATCAATTAGTTGATTGAAATTAATAGGTTGAGACGTGATGTTCTCGTAGCAAAAAGTCAGCATATTTATGGGAGATGCTCGTCGTATTTCCAAATCAGTGATGTTAATCAAACAAATCTGTGTTACATGTTCAAAGCTGAAGTGCCATCTAGATCTGAAGAGAAAATAAAGCCAGCCAGAATATGAAGTTAATTGTGACTATTTTCTTCCTAGAAACCGATTTTTACAATTTTCAAAGGATTTGGAGTATAGTATGTCTTATGTATGACTGTTGACTTTTAATAAAACACAAAAAAAGTATAAAAATCTGTACAACAGCGACTTAAAATCGAATATAAAATAGTGAGACAATCTCTCGTCTTCGTATCCGTATCCATTTATACTGCTTTGACAACGTTTTCGTTTCTTAAAAGAGGGAAATATATACTAAATTTTATCAACATACATTGAGAACATCACGTCTTACCTACTAATTGATTTAAATAAATAAAATTAGCGAAACCTACCGCTTTTGTGGGGTTTTCCTAGAGAAAAACTTTCAAAACGAAACAAACAAGAAAACCGAAGTGTTTATCCGCGTTTGACGTTGAGCATGCGCAGTGTTAAACCGGATACCATGTTTTTATGGTATCCGGTTATGGATTTGGCCAGAGCCCCTCGTCGTGCTCGGTCGAACGCGCGTAAGAAGGGCTCTGGGTACGAGAATGCTTCCTACAGCACTGCATGCTTCTGTAATATGTCTGCGTAAACTATGTGTATTTTTGTTTGTAAATTGCATCTACATTTTCCGGATAGCAAACACCTTCGTGGCTTCGTATGCCATGAAATATTCGGAAATTTTCTTCGTCATTCGGAAATTTTTGGCCTACACCCCCACCCACCCCAACTATACATGCTAGCTACGGCCCTGGTGAAACTATATGCGTATCCAGGCTCACCGACTAAAAATGGTTGGATTTTTCGAACACTATCTCATAGCATGTGTGAATGTGATCGTCAAGGAATTTGCACATACGTAAACCCGGTGACAAATAACTATTTACCATTTCAAGAAAAACGAGAGGCCCTAGCGTGTACAGCTTTCCTTTGCGATGAAAATCGTATACATTAACAAAATAAAGATTTGATTGGTTTCTTGAACAAGTATTTTAATTTTGTCAATCTACACAGTATACAATGTTTTAGAAGACTCCTCTGTTTTCATTTTATTCACGCTTACTGTAATAATTCAAATAGGACTTTGCTGGTATTTTCAAGTCCCGTTTTTTAAATGGCGCGCCGCAGGGGGGTGGGGCTTATTAATGAACGAGGATTTTGAAATCCCAGTAAAGTCCGAAATTGAGTATTTAAAGGTTGTAATCAATATTTTTCAAAGTAGTAGTACTTTGAAATTATGTAAATTCTGATTTCAAAGTATTAGTAAGTACTAGTAAGTACTATAGCGAGTACTTTAAAATTTTCACTTTGATACTTTGAATTTCAATGTGTCCTGTATAGGACGTTTTTAGCTCTAGTTTCAAAACATTATTACACTAATTAAATATTGATTCGTTTTGTTAATATAATTTCAGTGAGCTCAGTGCAACGCCAAAATTATTTTAATTTTGAACCCTATACAGCCAGAAATCTCACAGGCCTGTCGCAGCTGCTGATTTTACAGGCTTGCGGCAAGTTGTCAACAAGTCGCGACAGGTCTGTTGGTTTCGTCAGGCGGTAACAGGCTTGCGGGAACAGGTCTGTCGCAAGCTGTTGACAACATAGCCGTAGCACAGAGTAGAGACATACAGAGACGTAACTGACTGTTGTAAACACTGTGGAAGATTACGTTATCATGTACCCACTTTTTTCAGGCGACCAGGCGAAAAATGATCAACTGCGCGTGCTCAGCAAGTTTAAAGTGAGTCGTCATCAGGTCGTCATCCAACCAGATCCATGCATCTAGTAACTTGCCGAGCATGCGCACAAAAAAAGTGGGTATACTAGTTACGTCTCTGTATGTCTCTACTCTGTGGTAGCAATGCTGTTTTCAACAGCCCTGTCGCAAGTTGTTGACACAGACACAGAGTAGAGACATACAGAGACGTAACTAGTGTACCTTTTTTGTGCGCATGCTTGGCAAGTTACTAGATGAATGCATCTGATTGGATGACGACCTGATGACGACTCACTTTAAACTTGCTGAGCACGCGCAGTTGATCATTTTTTTCCCGGTCGCCTGAAAAAAAGTGGGTACATGAAAACGTAAACTTGCGCAGTGTTTACAACGGTCAGTCACGTGCTACTCTGTGTTGCTGCAGCTCTGTCACAACAATTTGCGACAGGCCTGTTGAAAATAGCATTGCTGCAGCTCTGTCACAACAGCTTGTAACAGACCTGTTTCTCGTTCAAGTTGAAATATTTAACCAAATAAATATCAAAGCAAGAAATACATGTCAATTGCGGATCTGTCAGAACAGACAGGTACAAGGCGAGCGGACGCATCCAGATATTGGCTTGTTGACAACAGGATTTAACAGACCTGTTGCACATCTGTTCCGACTTGCGCGAAATTGCCTGCACGTATAATATGCCTATATAGTTAATAAACTATATCAATTTAATTATGGATTTCTTTACATACCGGCCCAACAAAAGAGGTGATTAATGCGAGTAAAAACAACATCGCACCAGCAATAGATCTTGTCTTCGCAGTTCTAAAAAGCGTCTTTCCAATCGAAGCGTTTTCTAAACCCTTTTTATTTACTTCTTCCGTCCACAATTTTTGAAGTCTTCTGTAATTGAAGGACGCTGAATCATTTCGAGGTAGTTTGCCCAAATCATCCAACTCCAGAGGTTTCTTAAATCCTTTCTTCATTATAGGAGTGATCCAGGAGAGCAACATCAACGGAATAAAACCACAATCGTCTATAGGATGTTTTGCTGGATAACTATAAAGATTGCATAAAATATATATTTGAATGTAATAGACCTTTCCCCCTTTTAAGTGAAATTTTGATCTAGACAAGTCTGGACAAAAATTTCACACAGAATCAGATGATCAAACTGATTATCAATTTCCCGTTTGTAATGCAAAATGACTGAAAAACGGCAAACTTCGCAAGGCTATATTGTCCGCATTTTACAACATTTCGCAACGAAACTTCGGAATATTACTAATTCTGCGATGCTCTTTCAAGCTGTGGTGGAATTTTTGTCCAGACTTGTCTAGATCAAAATCTCACTTAAAAGGGGAAAGGTCTATTAGATTATATACGTATATAAAGATTTGAAAGAATGTAGCCTACGGACAGATTCGGGATTTCATAAAATATATGTACTAAATGATTTTAAGTATTTAACCTAAATAAATGGATACTTTAAAGAATGAAATGCTTTTGTAATCCGACCATGCAGCGATAGCTGAATGCGATGATACCTTTTTGAATAAAGTTAATATATATGCTAAGAAATAATATACAATAGACAATCAATATTTAATCAGGATTTTTGGGCATCTCATGCACTCGATATCACTAATTGTTGAAGGGATTTTTAGATGGAAATTTCGAGTGGAATTTTTATACATTTCTTACACCTAAGCAGGAGCAGTTGCGAAAAATGCAACTGTCGGCCCTCTGGCAGAAATTGAAGCCGCGGCCCTGCGATTGCGTTGCAGCAGCACTGTAACCAACTGAGCTACAAAGAGACAGTTGTCGAGCTCTAACCACAAGTTCAGGTATAAATATAATTTGATGCCAATGTACTGTGCATGGGTAAATATCAGGATTCTGGGCAACTCACTCGACATAATTAATTAACTATATACACGAACTTGTGGCTATAGAGCTCGACAACCCAGTAGCTCAGTTGGTTAGAGCGGAATCGCAGAGCCGCAGGTTCGATCCCTGGTTAGGTCTAATAAATGTATAAAAGTTCCACTTGAAATTTCCATGTACAAATCCCTGCAACAATATTTAATCTTATCTTACCATGCACTGGTAAGTTTTGATAATATTGATGTATATGTTTTCCCTTGAGAAATCAGGAGCAGCCGTTGTGACTTGAGTCCTGACCTTGCTTGCATGCAGTTTCAGGTAACCTGAAGTTCAGGCCCTAATTTGAAATAGGGCCTGACACAAAACCTGTCTAGACCGTGGGACGCCCACATGTTATTTTTAGACACAACATGCAATATGATTGACACGTGTTATAGATTTCGTTACACAAAAAAATTATATTCTCATGAACATGTCCGCAGAGTGCGCATTTTGCTTTATAATTAAACTTAAAAATCCAAGGTACTTTTATATAAATAAGATTCAGACAAAGATTTAATTAGTCAGTTCTGTGCACGGCTAGACTGCCAAGCTTTCTCAAGGTCTCAACTTGCTGGACGCGGATATTAG